GTACATTGCAGCTTTGTAATTCATGATCTTGTATAATGGACGTACTTTTTGACGATTGTACACATTATAAGATAAGTATTGAACATTGCAAAAAGTTATCGCTTAATGTTGGTGGAAATTCACGAATTTGGTTCCTTTTGTTTTATCGATATAACAGCAAAGGGTATTCACCGTGTTTTGGTAGGCAACTATATTCCATTTTGGCCCATAGATAAAAATTGAATAACTCTTCTCTTTTTGTCTAACAAACTGATCAGTATTCTTCTCCGGACTCGCCCGGGAAGATCTGTTTTTCCAGACGGCAAACACAGCCTCTGGAGGGTACTCAGCCCCTCGCCACGGTCGCTGCTATCCCCGGGCTTGCCCCTCTCCAGTCGTTGCTTCAAGTGGCTCCGCTGAACCACCCAAAGGCCCATCGTCCCCCTCCAAACCTCCCGGACCAGCATCTGGAGCCACGGGACGTATATGCCGCCCACCCCGTGAATTGTGGTTGGTACGGCGCGGTGATCGCGGGCGTGCTCGCCAGCCAAGACACGTGCAGAGAATCACCAATCGCAAGATTTCACAATCGCTAGATGTACTTCAGTTTGAATTATTCAAATCCCAAAGATGGTCTTTAAAAGATTTATACTAATTCATAATGATCGATTTTTTTTACTAAATGAGAAATTGTATTTGTAACGGCTGTGGCAGTGTAGAATCGTTCAAGATGGCTATATAGTGGCATATTGAATTGCTGTCTTCCAGACTAGTTCATGTCACGTGGTTCTCTGACGTACAGCAATCTACCGTGTGTGGTCCATCTTGCGTTGGCGGCTAAGCACATTGCATGTACGCAGCTACCGTTCGCTCACCAATCGCGCGTGTGGGCAGGGTATAAAGCCGTGCCCTCTCCGTGCACGACAAACATTTGGGATTCGAACAACGGTATATTACAGCTTCGCGCTCGGACGGAAACTGGTGATTTTTTTAAAAACTTATTCTGTGGTGTCATCTCTGCCAACACGTCTTTGAACAAATCGTCAACCAGCACGGCTACACAGAGCTTCAAGCACCAAGTAACATCAACACACACACACAACACAAGTAAGTTGGATCATAACATAAATTGGGCTAACTGTGTATCGCTAAAACGGTAAACCAAAAGCAATAACTTACCCTTTCTGACTGGAGCTGAGAAGGACACCCCTTGTCTTTGGAAAGTTTAAACTCGTGGAAACGTTAACGTCAAAGATAACGTCGCGCAATACAGCGTGAAGAATATGCGCACTTGTAAACTTTAAAGCTGTAGGATCAGTTAGTTAAAGTTACATACCGTGCCAATTTAATAACACAATAACCTTTGCTCAAAGTGAAGATAGGACTGGTATCAAATATCCCTGTGAAATAAATCCGCCTGAAATGCCATCGTTTCGAAAAACGAAAACTGTAACATTGACGGTGGTTTCAAAATAGGTTGCCCGCGGGCACACGTTTTACGTGCGTTACGGAACCAGTTACGACTCCCAAATATGTGCATAGGCCTATAGTATACGTGGTCTCGATTTTCTAAAAATGTATAGAATCCACGGAGCTAAAAATTTAACAGGCTTATTTGTTATGTAGGCCTACCCTACTTAACATTTTGAGATTTTTTTGCTTTAAACGAAACAAAAAAATGCGCAGAAGGCAAATGATCGTATTATCTTTAAGAATAGTTCTTTTACGGTTATACAAAAGCATTCGCTTCACCTTATACCTAAATATTGTCGTTAATTTGCTTATCAGTATTTAAGATCAATGCAAATTGTACACTTCTAGTTAGGTATTTGTCTTTTTCTTGTTTTTGTTTATATGAGCTTGTAACACTCTATGTAAAATGGCAACATTGAAATACATGTTATAACTACTTCTAACTTCTGAGGATTTTGATGCGTTAACAGTTTTATTGATATAGGAATTTTGAAGGCATTTTTTTGACAATGAAATCTTTCTTTTAATCACGCATTGACACCCATGGTCTGCAAATGAAGCTTCATCGTCTGAGCTGATTACGTTTCATGTAAAACTCTATGTGATATGGTATAGGCCTATCAGGAATATAGTCCTGTGCTGATGGAAACACAAAGGCAAGCACGATATAGTTGAGAAACTATTAAGGTACACAGAATCACTTGTTCCTCGTGTATTTTTTATCATTTGAAGTAGCAAAATTGCTTAAAATATAGGATGCATAACAACTATCCTGTTGAAGTTTAGCTCAAGCAGTGGCTATGTACTGTACATTTTGAGAAAACAGAGAAAACGCACAGAATAATGTAAGGTCTTTGAACGTGATGCCGTTGCTAACGCCCACGGGCACACTTTTTAAAACCACTTTCAATGGTTGTTTTCTTCGGTCGAAACCATTTCGGGCGGAATAATTTCACATGGTATTTAGGACTAGCCCTTTCATTAGTTTGAGCAAGGATTCTCATGCAAATCAGAGGTGCGTTCCCGGGTAGTAACCTATCTTCTTTATACGTGTCTTTAACTTGATACTAGCCCGTGAACACACATTGTAATGATGCTGAATTATACCGTGGTTTGTAAAAGGCTGGAACGGTAAATTTAATACCGTCAATTTGGGTGCGAAATCGATGCGGGCGATCGATGTTAACGGCTCTTAAACGACAGACCATTCATGTTCATTGGGATGAGGGGGTGTCTCGGGAAATGTGAACAGTTTCCCCTGCGGAATGCGTCATGTTGTATCGTCACTCGCTAGAACTTGAAAGAGTCTACTTTTTTTAATGTGAATGTTGCTTCACAATGGTAATGCATCTTCATGTCGGAATGTTTTTCTTATAGGCGCTACCTCAGATAGGTAAACTTTACGTAGGTTGATCTAACACTATATAATGTATAAGGAAAGTCGCTGAAGTTATTTTCATACTTATACCGCTTTTGAAATGAAATATTTGGAACTCACAACACGGAAAGTTCACTTGGTGAAGTCATTTACGATGAATTCATAAGGCTATACTAAAAGAAAACTGTTGGGCAAAAGTGGATAGGTATTTTGCCCAATGTTGGTTAACATACGCACTACGCTATTAGACAAATTCTTCGCAAAAGTTTTTCAATTTTTATCCACGTAACCATTAATTTCACACATTAATGTTTGGCAAATGACATTGCTACACAGCTTTTGACCCAGTTTTCTGTTTACAGCATGACACGACTTAGTTATACTGATTTTTTTTGTATTATACTTGCGCCATTTTTGTCCGGTAGCATAGATATAATATTGGTTGATATTTGCAAAACGCAAACAAAAACACATCAAATGCGCAGTTCAGTTTCATAATATCCCCTGAAGACTTAATTTGACTGTATTTCAAAATTATTGTACAAAACATGTTTCGGTATATCTCATTTTCCTTATTTCTTAAGATATTTTCTCGGAACGTGACCATTTGTATACTGCTGGCACGCCGCCCAAATAAAAACAAAACACTAGATTCTCCTCAATTTGTTGATGAGATAAGGTCTTAAATGACCCTTTTTTATTTAAGGAACGTCTCAAGTTTTGTTGGATGATCTAGGCCTGGTTTGCTGTTTATCCTGCTTTATGAACACAGTTGACTTTGCCTACACGTGTTGCCTGATCACCGTTGACTTTTTGTTAATTTTTCCATGAAGTGTCGGCATTACGCCCTCTGGATGTTTTGTATGTAGTTTAAGTTCCGATATATACCAGATAGAAAAATATATCAGATATCAAATTTATACTGTTTCGCCAAAGGTCTTGAAATATTTATTGAACTTACACCTTGTTTTCACTAGTATCATCACGATGCACGTCGAAGCCCCCTTTTGTCCCATTTCCCCCCGTTGCATGAAATCAAAGCACGGGATGAAATAGGCCGCTTGAAATGCAACGCTGCAACCCGATCCTGGTAAAACATGAGTCTTTACTCACCTTAAAGTGTTTGTGTGTGTAATCTTCCTTTTACGTCCACGTATCAAAATGCACTATGGGTCGTGAGGGCATCTTTGTAGCCCTAGATCGATAACACTCGACACGGTAAAAAGCTGCTCGTTTACTGCCCTTCAACTCATCTCGTTATCAAATTACACCTTTTGAGTTCAAGGACATAGATGGGGTGATATCATGTAACCGGCTAACCGCCTCGAATATTAAAGTTGTTATGATTTGGAGACAAAACAATCCTCTTAAGTCGATAGTTTTTTCTTTCTTCCGAAACCTGTGGACCCGGTTCCATTACAAATTACAACTATGGTAAAAGTTTTGCCGAAGACTTACATTCATTTCCGGGCATTGGAAAACAAATATACTGAATCAAGATCTTTGTTAGATACTAGATTCAAGATAAATCAACTTCTGGCCGAAATCCAGTCCATTCTTCAACGCGATATTTCGGACAAAGTACCATGACAATATTGCGGTCACTGCGCGTATCATCCACCTATAGTTAATGAATTGGTGTACTTAGTCTCCCAGTGAGTCGTAAACAGGATTAACCCTCATTCCGCATGTTAGTTCCGATAGAATGTTCTTTTTTTCCTGATCTCAGTGGCGCATTCGAGGGAAAGTGATTTAGAAGTAATTCGTTGGGCCAGCTGCCCAGTGACATGCACTAAGCACAGGGAGCATTCGCAATCTACTTGTCAGATCGCGTTGCATAAAGATCACTAACTTCTCCCAAGCCAGCCGTCATCCAGCACAGTTCCCCCTCTTACTTTTTTTTCAAGGGAGCGCTAACAAACGCTAATGAAGATTGGAAATTGATGGTTGTGACTTTCAAGAGAAGGATCGTTTGGTCCAGCCAGGCTGAGCCGATGAGATAGAGGGCCGGCCATTGGGATATTGGACAAGAAAGTGGAGGCGGAGTGGATATAACACGGCAATCCCTGGGTGCATTAGCTCGACGTCGGACCGTGTTTTCTAATTGATGAAAGTTCGCCGGACGCGTGTTGTGTACGTGTATCGCGTGGGCCTCTTGCAATGGAAAGGCTTTAGCAGCATGCGGAGTTGACAATGGCGATAAATGACAGTATTCGTGACAATGACAAACATTTCACAACGGGCATATAATACAATTAGACGTACGTTATGATGCAGTTGCAAGGTTAGATTACAAAACCTATAAATACCCTCCTTCCCATTAGTGGACGTTGGCCTAATGCACCGACTTCAAATTAATGGAGCATTTGGAAGCTTTCTTGAATTTGAAAAAATTGACAAGTGTTCATAATGGATCATGGGGAATAGTTATTTTAATATGAACATCCGCGGCGCTCTTTGTGACGCCCACATTAACAAATCGCACGTAAGGTTGTATGAAATTTTGCCATCTCATGTGATCGCGTTTTTTGTTTGTCCTTATTTGGCAGATGCATTCGTCAACAGCGGTTACCCTGGCAACGTGTCTGGTTATCGCAGCAATTGTCACACAGTCAGGTAAGTCAGCCATGATTCACATGTATAAGGTACCATATGTCCCTCCACCATTCTGTGTGTTTACGGCATTCGAGCAAACGCTTTGAGTTGCAATGATAGCGTCTTTTATTACACGAGTGTTGGATTAGGGTAAAGTCCGTTGCTCGTGGACACAAGTAAAACAGACAATGCCGCTACCGATATCCATATGATGAAAAACACAATAATCGGGCGTGTTTTAAACTGCAATTCCCACACATGCAAAAGAAACCATGAAAGTGTTTCTCATGTGTTTGTTCTTAGTTAAGGTTATTTCTGCCTCTTCATGCAGAAACGATCATTCCCATCAAATTCCCAAACTGAAATTCAAAGAAACCCTTTCAGCTTGATAATCGGATCACAAACGATCCATCATGAGAAAGTAAACTCATACAAAATTGCATTTTTAAAATCATAATTCATTAGTTATTTGTATGATTTTATATTCCATTTTTTTTTTACAAAATTGTAACCTTATATAGAAATATAATATCTAAATTGAAGGGTGAATCCCGTGGGGAATGAAATGACGTACCCCGGGACCAAACGTTGTTTTTTAGTCGGGGAATTCGGCTTATTTTTGGATGGATGTGAGGCTAATTGATCGAGTCTTTGGCGGCGGGTATTGTTACTCCAGTCTGCGTCGGATAGCTAAGACATTTCTTATGCGCCCCTGGACAAGGAGGATAAAAATGATTTTAACAGCGATCAAAACGGAAGAATCGTATATGACGTCAGTATCTAATGTCAAAATTTGAGATTATGAAAAAAAAATGCTTTTAGACTGTTTTTCCTTTTTGTAAATCCAAAGTGTATTTGTTAAGTCCCAGTGCGCTGTGAGGTCACTTCATTCTCAGGCTCGCACGAAGGAGAGGAGATTCCTGGATGGAACATAACTTCAACATTTAACTCAAAATAAAAAACACGTTTTTCTTTTAATTTAATGCTTTGTACTGAAGTATTCGATTGTTTCAGGTTGTCTTCCACTAGCTCCTGTTTTCCTGGTTCAAGTTTACTAGTCAGCTTTCTCTTTTTCAGCTATTCAGGTTCTTTTCCTATCAATTACTCCTTTTTTTGCTGCAGTTTCATACACAAATCATGCGTCTTTAATTGTATTAAAAATCCGAAGAAACCGGGAGGTTTTAGCGTGTTTATACCTTGAGGTCAACCGATTTAATCCGCAGACGAACATGTCTTAATTCATGCAAGAAATTGATGCTTTCAAAACATGATATCGTACATGGCGCCCGGGGCAAAGATGGCCTTCAGGAATGTCATATGATCATTTTTCTGTTCTTTTTTGCGGGAAGGTGAAGTGTTCCGGACACATTCACCGTGCATGTTCCTGCCAGGAAAGGTCCGTGCTTACATTGGCTTTCCACCGCACGGTGGTACCCTCTCGAAGAGGCAGGATGGATTTCAATAGTAGGTATCGCTACTGATACCTAAGACTTGTTGCACTGCTCGGGAACATGTACCGCATCGTGCTTTTGGCACGCCTGGGGCTAAGTCTGGTACCAAGGGTCTCTGTTCGTATTGTCTGTGTAAAGTAGTAAGCGGAAGTAAAGCCCACGGAACTTCCAGATCGGGCACCGGAAGGCGTGAGTTCAAAGTACGTTTACACCGAGGCTGGTCGATGAGAACAGAGATGAACTCGTTGAAAATCTGTTCAAAAGTCATGAAAAATTCTCTCGAGCAAGGCTATCTTATATCACCTAGAAATCTATTTCCCCACTTTAACTTGGTGTAAAAACGTGTACGTCAAGGGATTTAGTTTGTGTGTTAAAATACGTGCGAAGCCGGCTCATTGGATTTTACTTACATTTAAAACTGACTACGCTCGACTGAGCATAGCAAAGCTTTCTGGAACTGGCTACCCGCGACCCTAAGAATTGGAATGTTGCACTTGCGTGGACCTACTGATATCCTGCCATTGGCGCTGCTCAGACAAATTGATTGTATTTATATTAATCATTCAAATCATAGAAAGAGAAAAAAGGTTAGGCCTACCTTAATTTGAGACTTTTGTTGTTATCGACTCAGTCGGGTATGGTACAAGCTGACACATAATAAATAGATGAAGATACATTGTTAGATTTTATTTGATCCGAATCGATTTTTATTTGCGGTGTCCTTTATCATCATAGCTTTTCGTTATTGCGATTGGTTTTGTTTGGGCTTTTTTTTTTATTGTTGTGGGTATGATGGTTGTTATAATTAAATAAACAAAATGAGATTCATAATTATTTTAGAATTATAATAAGCAATGGCTAGCTACTTTGACTTGGACAAATTCTTGTGAACAACTTGACGAAAACAGAGCCGTTTCAAATCAGAACGCTCAGAACAGAAGGCCAAACTTCAGACAAAATAGCAAGGTCAACATATTCGACAGGAAGAGTGAGTGGTTACATGAAACCTTGCATGTGTGCTGCTCGGCCACTGCGGCATTAGTCAGCGAGTGGCTCCCGACCGCGCTACCGGGCTGCGTACGGCGGAAACATATCGGAAATCCCGCTGAGCCTCTTAGAAGGCATGCTCGGAGTGAAGTGGAAGGTCAGTTAGACTTCGGCCGTGATCGATCAGTCTCTCGAAAATCTCGAATTTTTCTCCATAAATCTGCTGAGAACGAGATATCTGCTGAGAACGAGATGTTAGTTAAAAGGAAAGAAAATTCGCAAAGAGTTGTATACGTGAAGGTTAACCAGACTTTGGGAGAAGTATATTTTCCTGTTAAATAAAAATATGACTATATTTTGTTTGATTTAAGGAAATTTTATGAGCAGCTTCAGCTTTCTGTATTGTTACACGTCTATGTTCCAACACACCTATGTTCCGACAGCCCTATGCTCTGACTGCTCATAACCCTAACCCTACCCTTACCCTAACCATATACTCTCTCAATTCCAAAGAGTGAAATTAGGGACTAGACGTTTTAGAGTAAAAATCACTCTCATTTTCGATTGACAGTCTGAAAAATGAACCACTTCAGTCGAAGCTCAAGTGAAACCTCGATCTTTATGATTGAAGAAATTTCACACTAAAACGTCTAGTCCCTAGTTGAATGTTCACTCTTTAGAATTCAAGAGGGTAACCCTAACCTTAACCGTAACACAATCTTATATGCGGGTTGTCGGAACATAGGTTCGTCGGAACATAGAACAGTCAACGTCTGGATTGCCAACTGATCACGTAAAAATGTGTACAGAATTTTGCATTCTTGTATCTTGTTAAAGAGCTACTGTGATGTTTTCATTTTTTCCGTGGAGGGATCGTATACCGGCGTCATGGGTTCGTTTATATAGATGTATACGTGCTCACGAGACAATTTTGTTTTGCGAAATGCTGGAATGTACCTCATCGTGAAGTCAGCGAGTTCAAAATGCCGGTAATTTGCCTGGCTTCTCCCCGTCGAGGCAAGATGGCGAGAGTGCCTGTAAGCCGGGGGGAGCCGGGCCATTAGAGCGAGAAGTGTTATTACGAGTGGCGATTAGCCATGCTGTATTGATGATGTTACGGCCGCAGTTTCCAGTAATCATAATCGCTGAGATGTGACAATGTAGCCCGCGGGGAAACCACAGCTATAGCTAAAATGAAAAAAATCCATTGTGACTCCTGCGACTACAGAGTGTTTCTGCGAAGTTATAAATTGATGTCGTGCAAGTATAGAAGGGTTTAAAAGCATGTAAACATAAAATAGGAGAAGTTGTTGATCCAGGAGCATCACTAGAAAGATATTGTGGACAATTAAAAAAAGTCTATACGTTCATAGAGCAATGGAAACAGACATTCGAATTATTGTTGTTATTCAGAGAGTGAATTATTAATATTGTGGCTGGGGCTTTATCAGCAGGTTTTGACGTATGTAGCATGTCGTCATTGGACAACATGTTTACGTCGGGTCAATACTGCAGAACTCCAAAAAGTGCAAAAACGTACGTAACGACCAAGCAAACAAGTTACAAATGACAGACGTCATTTCAAAACGCAAAAAAACTGGATCCTAAGTGTTTTGAACCCTTCGGTACTGCATAGCAATTCACGAATCGGCTATTACTGCGGTTATTATGCAGGCAACCACAGGGCTGCGAGACGCTGAGTATGTACTCGTACGGTTGCCGAACTTGGAATGGAGCAAAAATGCGTTCCACACTTGCGGTCAATTACCGTCGAATGCGCTAATTCTGATGCACAGTTTCCGTTCCGCAGTCAGGACAAGAACACTTAGGCAATAGCCTATTCTTTCTTTCTGTTGCCAGAATGAAGTTCCTTTTTTTTTTGGCATGCCTAATGTATTGTCTGCCCCAGAGCGCATTGCCATTTTGACTGAAAAACAATATCAGAAGTGATAAAAGCAGTACAGTTGCCCCCTAACAGACTGCAAATACTATCAGTCTAATAAGAAAGCGGTGTTCTTGCTTTGAGCAATTTCCAAGCAGAGAGAGAGAGAGAGAGAGAGAGATAGGGGGGAACTTCGTTACAAACATCCTTCACCTTTTTCGGATGATTTACATCATAAGATGAAAAAGTGTATCTTGGTTCGAACATCGAAATGCCATTGGAGTTGCTTACAGTCATCACAATTCATCCAGTTTCAAAGGCATTTTCCTTTTCATTTTCCGTTCCCGGCTATTTCCGATGCAAAGGGCTACTTGTGATTGACACGATTTCAGTTCTGTATTTTTCTGACATAAATATTATTAACTGTACTCCGCGCATGCTCATTTTGAAGTCTCATCACAGGGAAATCACAGCATGCACACGATCGAATGATGGAATGGAATGATAGAATTTTACACAATTACTCAACCATACGCAAGCACGTCCCTTTTCAACTGTCGTTTGTCGATTCCAATTTCAAATTAAGAAACAAATATTCATGATTTGACGAGCATGTCCCATTGAGGGTGAATTCCTATCAATGATATTGATTCTCTCGAGAAAAAAAAAATTATGAAAAGAAGATCAATATTCCGAGGTTCATATTTCTTTTTTTCTTTTTTTTTATGTAATGTAAAAGATTCTTGACTAACCTTTCCTGGTAATAAGAACCAACAGAGTGGCCAGCCTTTGATGTAAAATGTCAATACCACTTCCATTCAATGTTGCGTTTGACAGGTGCCAGACTATGTTAGGTTTTTCCCAATAAAATAGTGTTTGAAGTTCTGGAAGAACATCAGTGACCTATATGGAGCTTGAGTCTCCATAGAAATCTCCAGCAGTCGAGGCCGAAGATGTAGGCTAGGTTTAGAGAAAAGCTCATCGGCCGGAAAATGTGACCAATTTATTCGGTGCAAAAAAAAACCCGCACATCAGACAACGAAAACACGCACAATAACAACGCCAAATACGATTCTATGAAATATACTTATAAGTGTATGCTTTAATAAATAAGACAAATTTAAAGTAAAATTGCATGCGTCTCCATTCAGAAGGTGATAAAGCCCTTATTACCATGGCAACACAAAAATATGTACCTCTTCTTCATAATTATAAACAGTTTATTTACCATCCCGATGATTTTAAATTAGTCAATTCAAAATTGCATGAAGTTTAGCCTAATTGAGCTCTCACCAGATACCTAGAAAGTGAGACTTTTTATTGACTGTGAAAGTATTTTAAAGAAATGCTTTCCCTGGTTCAGAATTCTCGACATTACAATCTAAACCAGCTCGCATTTTCTTTTCTTTCATTTTTCCCTTTCCTGTACAGCCACTGCACTAGCCTTCCAGGGTTCGCAAGACAGAGCGAAAAGATGTAAGTATCAACATAAGACCGACCTCAATTAAATATCCTTGTAGGGTTTAGCAAATCACTAACACGGATTTATGCATGTGTGGGTACACATCCGTCTTTACCTCCGCACGAGAAAAAATACCGAGAGTCGTTGGTTTGCAGGGTTTCTCTCCCCCGGGCATGTGTCAAGACGAGGAAGCATTAGTTCTTCCTTTCGGAGGAATGAAAAACTCTCTTCAACTGGCCGCTGGTTACTGTCTTTTTTTATTTCTGCATCCGAGATGCGCAGTGTAGGCCTACCCATTAGCCGCTAGTGGGCGAGAATATAGATTGATAGAGTGCGGGAGCTCATTGCTGCTGATAGTTCGCGCTTTATTGGTAGTTACCCTACACTGTTTTGCGGCATTATTGTACATTACGTGATAGTGCTTCATCAGTTATCTTCGGTAGATAGCGCGGACCGAACGCAATATGACAGTGCCTCGAGCGCGCGCGATCCGCGTTGTAACTTGAACCTCGGCAGTCTCTCTATACAAATTCCCGATCGTTAGTGTAAAACAGCAACTCAACACAGATATTGCCTGTTAAATGAAATAGGTCATACATCATCATTTCCCCTACACGTCTTGCTTAATAATGACATAAGGTCACGGCAGGACATTCCGATGAATATCAGTGATTATAAAAACACGACAGCATTATTGTGCTAAATTCCAGGGCACGAATAATTGATTGATCAAAATCTAACTAAGTGTATACTCAAAGGCGTTCTGTCGTTGAAAGATTATACAGAGATTAAACATTATTTGGTTTAATACATGGTCGATATAAGCGGAAGCCGAAATGCTTTAGAGAACCGACAGATTAATTATGTTAAGAAAACTGCTCCAGTCAACCATTGAGTCCCAGTTTCAGGGTTTATTATTAGATTGTAAGTTATCAGTCCCGGTATAATGTGCCAAGAGATCGCCAGTATATTGTGCGCCATTACTCATTTTTGTTCTGCCGATACCATTACATGCATGTAACTCACACAGAGGCAAGGAATGATACATTTTCGCCTAGATGAAGATGTAATGAAAACGTAAAATATACATTTAAAAATAAAGGCTAAAATTGACCGATATGATGAAAAAAAAGTTAAATTCTCTCCTCCTTTTTTTTTCATTTCCACAGTGTTTTGGGTGGACAAGAAAAGTGCCAATGAAGGTGAGTGCATTATCCAAACCAAAGAATTTACCCTTTACAGAGAAAAACAGTGAAGTAATATCGGTGATATTGTTTCAAAAACGTTTCTGGTGTCTTTCAAAAAGTAAAACGTTTCCGAACGCCAACGCACTACGTTGGACATCGCAGTTTTCGGCCTTGAAAATGCAGGAAACTGAACGATTGATTCAAAAGATTTTAATGTATCACATTTTGCCAACGGTCATAACTACAGGAAGTGAGTCCATTTCGTGAGTGCAATAAAACAATCTCGTAGGTCGGAGCCGAGTTCCTATAGTGACGAACACCGACAGCCGATAGGGCAGTATCCTGGGCTGACGTCAATTATTACGCGCCCTGCACTTTTTGGTGAGATGGGTATACGCAGATTTTGTAATCTTTGTCTAAAGCGGAAAAACTTTGAAATAAATCTTTTGATTGGAAGTAACAATTCGGCAAATTAAACAAAGTGCACGTCTGAGTCCTTTCGCAAATGGCTCAGAACTGTTTTGGGCAGAGCCTTTGTCCTGCATCAACTATTCAATGTCAGAAGAAGAAAAAACAGGAAACACGTAAGTTAACGTCAAACGCGAAGTACATAATGAGCTAGAAATCATTTCGAAAAAAAAAGAATTATTAAAACTTAATATAATCTTAAAGTGTTTGAAATGTTTGCTATTTAAGCTATAAGAACAAGTAGCCTTGGAGTTCAGAGGCACGGGGGGAAATGCAGAGAATGTCTCCCGATTTAAATATTTTATGCAATAGAGCGCGTTAGTATCATCTAACCACTCGCTGCGAAACCAAACACGGTTGAAACCCGAGACAAAATTGCCAAATTATTTCCGGTTTTTTCACGACGCTGTCCCCGGTCCCCGTCCTGATTTCATTACAACTAGGCTCCTCGACTTGCTACAGGTGTATTCCGTTGCAGTTGAACAACTTTTACTATATAAAAATGCTCGGCATCAAAAGAAAGTCCAGGATCTCAAATACGCTATCCATCCTGAGTCAATATTCGCAAGGCTGCTGATGTGCATTCATTGCGTACGTGAGCATTCAAAATTTAGAAACTGGCCGTGGTATATTATCCAATACCTTATCTGTTACTGTTTAATGGAAACTCTTTTATGTAATATATGATTGGATGACAACATTTGATAGTCTCGCGCCCACTAATTTCGTTGCAAATTGACTCCCAGAAAAATCTCTAAAGTTCACCGCGTCCAATCAAATTCATACTAACTAGTGGCCTTGCGTTCGGTGTAATAATCAATAGTGGCTCGCTGCGCCGAGCTCATAATTATCTTTGGATACGCTACACGAGACGAACGTGGGTGCGTTTGGCCTCATTGCAAAACCGTATACTTGCAAAATTCAATTTCGAAGACAGTTGATAAACTGGTGGGGAAAAAAGCGTAGTTCGATTCCGTGTTTCCTCGCCCCCTCCCCGTCTCAATTTCCCTGCTTTTCAAAATGACACCATTGTCACCGAGACGGCCCCTAATGTTTTACAGCTGGTTTTGCAAGACCTCTGGGTTTTACCTTTGGGCCTCTGACTACATTTTCAGGTATAAGGTATTGGAGGCAGGAGGGGAGAGGTGTAATCTCATCTCGTATTCATTGTGAGGTCTTTCTCTTTCTTTCTTTTTCCTTGCACAGATAACACAGTTCTCGTCAGAGCCTCCGCTGCGGACGATATAGCCGGTAGGTATAGAATAACCTGATAGCTAAGCATGATGACAAAAACTGCAAGTAGGATCTGAATAAAGTCTACTGCAATATTTAAAACTCTGTGTTGTTTTGAACTAGTCCACTTCAAAAGCGAGGTGTAAAGGCAACACTTAAGGCCATTCACAGCTCATTTGTACATCCAAACATGTAGGTAAAAACTGAACTCAAGTTCATTTCAGCACTAAAATCAGCATGCACTGCCCTTGTGCTTGTTTTGTACTTCCCGAAATTGACGCAAATTGTACCTATAGGTTAAAACGGCAGATTAATCTCGGATTTATGAATCACTTTAAGCATTTTATATGTTGACCAAAGGCAGTGAAAGGGAAATTGTATTCGAATTACACAAACGTTTATTTGTGTACATTGATTGGCATAGTTTTTCCAAAAAGTGTTTTATTGGCTTTTCAACAAAAAGTTGCAGAGAAAGCTTTTGTTTCTGTTCCGATTTTTTGGGGGATTTTATTTTTTGAAACACATATAATGGAAAGTTCTATCGTCATGAAACTTGGTTGATGCGTAGATAATGGTACTAGTATGCAATCCGTTAATATCATCAACATTTTGTTGATGTTATCCAAGTGCTGAGAAGTCTTTAAACCGGAAGTTCTATGCCAATCAATACATACAAAAAAGTAAACATTCGTGTAATTCGAAGAAAATATATTGCCTTTGGTAAACGATAAAAATGCTTAAACTGATAAATTAATTCGAGGTTCATCATTTCTGCCATTTTAACGGTGACTTTCATACATGAACTCGAACAACGTTCAAGGAAATAGTGTCAAGACAAACGCCAAGCCTGAGTCTTCATTTTGTACATGAGTAATGACTGAAACAAACCGGTCACTTTTTAAACAAAAACACTTGTAATTTCTTAGAGAATGACGTCATCATGACGTCACACTTGTATACACATCTCTGTATCAGGACTGATTGTTGTTCCAAGGTTTCAAGTTCATGTGTGGTTCCGTTTGAAAGAAAAGCTGAGAACTATTGTCCAGAAAAAACAGCACAGAAAAAAAGAACGAAGACAAAACCAAAGGGCGATGGGGGATAGAGCACCAATTCCCGTCACCCATTTCTTAAGAACTAGAGTTTTTGGGGACAATGATAATTAAGACCAGATCAAGTCCATACCAATAAGGAATACGAAGGACATTTGACGTCGTGAAGCTTAAATTCGCTGTAAAATTTCGCCTGATCGAGCCTCAACTTTGGCAAATTCACAGCGCAAGTAAGGAACCCACCCGCCTTTAGGGACACTTATCAGTTTGTTAATTTGGGTTGAACCATTGTACTTGGCCTCTATGTCTAGTTTCATTCGTGTTGACCTGAACGGGGTTGCAGAACTTTCAAAATCCAATCTAACCGGTTTTCGTAGAAATAGCAATACGCACTTCCTCTTGAGTAAACTCCGAGTCCATGACAAGTTGGCAGAGAAAATATTTCCAGAGCATTTTGTCCCTTGAAGTCGTCCTTCCTGATGGAAACGCAAACGACGGTTCCTATTTTACCTCGTTCAGATACCGCGGTATGCTTTTAGAATTGAAGAGTTGGGTTTGACCTGTATAGAATAGGTAACGATCGAGAGAGAGAGAGTGGTACATTTGACGCAGTGTCATTAGTATGGCGATCGCCTACCGACGTAAGGTACTTCCGACTCGAGGCTGTGCTCTGACCGTGCAACCATAACAGGCTCCCGCAACGTCCACCCGTCCCCAAGAACAACATCCCTGCTCCCTTGTCGGTGGACCCGGGGGTGAATGGAGAGCATTTAAATGGACCGGAACAAGCTATGTGGACCACTTGTGACTTGTCCCCAGAGCGCTGTGGTGTTTTATGGGGCAAGGTTTTCGGGCCGCGGCATGCACTTGACCGCGCCGCAGAGGTGACGACCCCCCACAAAATGAACAATCAAACATGCACATCAGCAGCTTTCATTCAACGTGCTCAACGCGCGTTCTCCTCAGGGTGAACTGAATATTGGGGTTATGTCATTTTGGGGATGGATCACCCTCCCCGTGGCATGCCTTTAAGAGATCATTACATTCAAAGCAAATATTCGGCATTTTTGGTGAATAGGTTATAAGCACTAATTTCTGCATAAAATGAATTCATTATACATGTAGTTCTTGTCCCTCAACGTGAGTGGAGTACTGAAGTGACAAGCACTTGAACAAAGCATATCATGACAACAGACTGAACAATATTAGGCATCGTCCGCTGCGCAGGTGGCTATCAATCCCTGAAACCAATGACGGGCTATAGACGCGTCATATGCAAACGCACGCGTATCGGACATTTTGTGGACCATGTTGGACACTAATCACGGTTGTGATTGGTCAAAACGTCATAGGGCGGGGCTCAGTGTATCGATTGGACCTATCACGGTAATCGCGTCAACGCAGCTTGTGAAATATTGTCCAATTACATGATATACAAATGGACGCGGAACGCACAAAATCCGAGCCAAACAAAAGTTAGTGTACAAAAACTCCATAGGGTTGTCTGAGGGGCGTGGCTAGCTCGCAAACGGCGATAGGTCAATATCAAACCCGAAGCGGATTCTTTTTATTAAATGCCTTTTTTCCCCATCTTTTCACGTGTTTCGTACAGAATGCTTCATTGCTGAATGCATCAAGAAACAGCTAAACTGTGAGATGATCTGCGGTGTCGACAGACAAGACTGCCATTCGCTCTGCAAAGCCAAAAAGGACGCGTGCGCCACAAACTGCCTAATGGAGAACGCGGCTAATGACGTCATGAGCCAATGAGAGTCGCCAACCAATCACAACAAACGAACTGGCTACACTTTTTGACCGATAGAATTGATTGAACCAACCTGTTTCAATGTGTGACACGACCTTTTTTGGACGTTGGCTGAGCGTTTATTTTAATACGGCCTTTAAAACTTATCCGCCCTTCTCTTAACTTAATTATTTTTAAGAGCCCATCTTGGTTGTCCCTTAGATGTAGAGCAACACGTACTCGAATGGCAAAAGTATACAATGGACTTTATTGACATGTTTGCTGAACTATAGAGCTCATTATTTGTAATAATCGAACGTTGCTATCCCGAAGATATTTTTTAAGTATTGACAATGTGACTTCTTAAGAACAAGATACATGTGTATTTGGCAAACAAGAGGCTTTTAAAACTAACGCGTTTGTGTTGAGTAAACGTGACTGAACACCCTGATTTAAAGTGTAAATAAATTGTAATTATCTTGCATGTATAGAAGCACCGCCAGGCCAATAATTGGTGAGCTAGAACGATTATGCAACAGCAGACACTACTTCGTGAAATGATATAAAGTAGAGACGTAGGCACAATTTAGCATGCACTGATATTTTGTTAGCAGTTTGCCACACAATTATAGATTGCACGCTTGTAACATGCTTTTAGGCCCTAACACAATCCGTTAGTGAAAGCAAGCACAGCAACGAACGGAGGAGTGATAGAACATGTTGAAATTTATCTTATTTTGGTTCAATTTCTGAACGGAGGTGTATCGGGCTGAGCTCTTGCTGTATTTACAAAACCATGACCATGATACTGCCTGTCTGTCAGCCATTTCGTGCAGTAGCAATCTTGGTCTAGCTCCTATAGGCCTACGGCGTTAACAGACATTCGTATGGTAAGATCACCCAAAGCATCAGACCAAGAAAACACTCGCGATTAGCTATGTAATTTCACGTTTATATCGAGGCATGTCAATTTGTTTTTCTTAAATCTGTATCATTTTGAGGTTGGGGTAGACAACCTGATTTTTACGAACATAATTGCAGAAAGAATGCTTATCAGTGACGGTTGATGTTAACGAACGTTTTGTGATCATGTTTATTAAGACATAGTGTTCCTTAAAATGTCGCGATCTATTTCTCAACAAGTCAGTGCTTCTGAGCATCAAAAATAATCTTGAATATCGCAACAACAACAAAAGGAAAACATTTTTTGGGAGTTGCAGTGTGATTTTGTGACGTTATAAAAGCAAACATGTTATTGGTCTTTTTGCAATAGAAGAAGCTTTCTGTACAAAGCCGTTCGATACCACATATTAAACTTTAAAATGTAATGTTAATTATTAACTTTCCCTTTTCTTAGCTATTCTTAAATATCCCCAATCCTTTTTGTGTTTTCCAATAAAAACGATTCATGCTACAGCTAAACAAAAGTGAAGAAACTGACGAGTACATAGCCACATCTGTTCTTTCATTTATTATTGGTTGGTAAAGCTAATTGGTGATTCCCGTTGACGAAAGTAGATAAGAGAAAGACTAAAATAGCTGTGTGAATAGGAGACTGAGGGGTAAAACAAAGAGCATCTTACCTATAAAGCAAGATCACATTATAGTACACTCCGAACACGCTGTCATCGACATTCACGGAGCCCCTTCAATAGTGAAAGCATCGTGTCCTTTATCTTTGTTGGCATTCAAAATTGCCGCTTGAGGACGCTATACATGTACATACAATTTGGTGCATAATCTTTTTGGGGGTGTCCACAAATTAGATTTTTTTTTTTACCAACGGAACTCGGCTAGAAATAAGTATTAAAGGGAAGATACAACATTTGCAAACATCAAAAAACGAAATGATCAAATTATCACAAAATATTTTACTGGATTGTTAGGGAATGACTGTAAAAAGCATCCTGTAAAATCGTGGCTCCTGGCGTGCTGAAATTTTCAAGAAAACTTCTATTTTCCAACGCTGGTCGGCCGACCAGCGTTGGAGAAAACTGGCTTTTCTTCAAAAACTGCTCCAAATTGTTCATATTTAGTTATTCTGCACTTTCTTTGCAATTGATTACACACCTGTGAATGGGTTTGGGCCTGCTAGACAGATTCTTTGGCCTTACAATTCCCCAAAGTCTACAAGTTGCTCCATTTCATCTTAAGTGGGGTCAGGGAACCAGACTACAAGAACATGGTTAGTTTTCTTGGATTTCCAGCATCTTCAAACCCAAAACGTGAAGCAAGTCAGTTTAACAATATTTTCTGTAACACACTTATCCTCCAGATCCATTTATTTCTGAAAAAAGTGCAGCAAAAGCAAATGTTGTACATTCCCTTTAATGGAAATATTACAGCTGTTTATTTTTGTTTAAAGACTGCGAACTTGAATTTTAAAAAGAAAAAGCTTCCCGCGTCGATGACTGCCACGATTTGTTACCAAACATGCATTGTAATTGATCAAGTGATTGTGTTTTAGTGGATTAATAGGTTTGATCAAAAGAAATATGTTTTGATTTACAAAAAAAAATGCATATTTTTAAACAATAAAATTACCGAATTAAATTCATGATTTACAATATTTTTCACATTGGTCGCAAGAGCAACCGTGGACATTGACCCAGACAAGAGTTAGCAACGTTCACCACAATCATTTCACGCCGATCGGGAAAATAATTTCGGATCTATCAAATATTTTACGGGGATGCGGATACACAACAGGGTAATGTTTCAGCTATACGGAAGGCGAATCCTGGTAGAAGCATTACAGGGCTAAGATATAGCGTCTGGGACACATTTTGTCCCCGGAAAGCTCTGAAATCTAAGGATGCCCCTAAATCATCAACCTGAAGTTTCACCATGCCATGTTTTCTTTTAAGTGCACTCCAGTCTTAAAGTAAAAAAACAAATTGCAAAATAGTATTTTCAATTGCAGCACATCTGTCGGTACCTCCAAAATGGCGTCTTAACAGCGCCCTCATTTGCCGAAAAAAATATATTAAAAGTCCGTTTTGCCCTGACCCTAAAACAGCAGAGGGCGGTGTGTTCAAATTGCTGTTCAAGTCTGGCATATTGTTTCCAATTCTGTCTTTTAAAGACAGCTGGAAAGCATTGTTCCCATGGGCGTAAATCCCGATGGGTGTGGGATAAAACTCCGAACCCCCCCCCCCCCTTTGACCCAGAGGTTATTTTATGGCCATTGGATCACAACCCCCCCCCCCCCCCCCCCCCCCCCCCAAGTTCGAGACGAATAGCAGTTTAACAGTGCAATTATTGGACATAAAGTGCAAATACACTGTACATTATATACCGGAGTGGAGCACCATCTACCTCTAGGGGCACTGTTCAAAACGGACTATCACGGACAATAGGTGGCGCTCTTTTGCCGACAGGACAACGATTTTGCCGTTTCCAGTGCAAGTTGAGCTTATTATGTTCCAGACGTCGGTAGAAATAACTACAGGTAAAGTGTGTGGCCGGGGGAGGGGTGGGGTGGGGGTCGACACTCGGGAGGGGAAGGAGGTTCGGCGCCTCCCTCCCCCCCCCCAATCCGCCGGTGATTGTATGATTACAGAGACATTTCTGATGAACAGCAGCTTATCAGCCCTCCAATCTAAACTGTACGCTTTTCACGCGTCGGAGTTTCAGGACTTTTGTCCATCTTCATCCCCGGCCCCCGCCTTCATCAACACAAATCTACGTCACTGACATTGCCCTGGAGATGTACTCTTCAGGTCTTAAAGAGAAAATGACCTGGATTAATGTGGTTTTTTTTAATAAATCAAATTTGATACAGCACTGAAGTTGGGCCTAGGGCCTATGTCTGAAAAGAGCATGTTCTTCCGCTCATCTGAAGAAAACCCTGAAATTGGTTTTACTAAAAAAAAAAAATTTTATAGCTATCCACGGAATGCCATTGGAAAATGGAAGCTATTGAGCTGAGACGGAAGCATTATTTGTACTGTCAGATTTTGTGTTTTTAATGAGGAACAAGTCGACTCTTTTTTTTATCTGAAATATGGGCGATTTTTGTATGTTTTTCTTTGCAGGTTTTCGTTCATTCATGCAGATGGGAAAACGTCCAGTGTTTCAGTGTATTTTAGTGGGTATTCATCAGTACAATTAATTATCAGTGGTGGACAGCTGAATTTTGTGACCATATGATTAAAATAGACGTATAACTTGGGAATAGAGCATGCAAAATTATATGAAATGTTCACAGTTACTAGTCAAAATAACAGGTACATTATCCCTATATTATTTTTATGAAATGGAGCGAGCACCATATTTTTTTAAATATTTTTTTCTACTTCGGTCACTTTCTTTTTGACTCACTGTATAATAGATCTACTACTAATAATTAGCGTATTTTGGCCCCTCCCCTTAAGTATAGGATATATCATGTTTTATCAACACATTATTTGTACTTTAACTTTGCCCAAAACGGTTAAGTTCGGAAAAAGTTAATCCCGAACACGCAGTTAAAACCTGAATTTAAAATCGTTCTAGTGAATATTTTTTTTGGCTTGGCTGTACATCACCTTTCCATGTTTTACAGTTCATTGATAGTTCATTACGTGCACGACAGCTCGATGGAACATTCTATAGTATGTACCCGTTTTAATTGGATCAAACGGACTAGACCGGTGTTGACCCATGACTGTTTGTCATCAAACCTTTTTTTTTACGGCTGGAGAAAGCGTCTATTACTCATCAGGGGCACATGCGCATTATACAGGGCAGGGCACGTATCGCCTTTGTTTGGCCAGGGCTACATGCACGACACACGTACACACGGGCAACTCTAGCAAAACGTCGCCTCTATTCTGGGAAATGGCATGATTTCACTCTTTCCCAATTTCAACGTCTTCCTCTGGGTTTCTACCAACTACTGGAGATGATTTCGAGGGTTAGCTGTTCCTCGCTATATAGCTAGAGTTCCGACACTGCAGTAGTTGGGCACGCTGATCATTTCGCCCGGGCAGGTAGGATTGTAGTTTGTAATGCATCATGCCTGTGAGCCATACGTCCTGCAATTATGTACGTGATTGCACATGTGTAACGTCGTTGCATACAGGATAGCACAAATTATACAGCATATGCATAATGCACGACCAACGTGATAGCTAGTTTCACCAGCCATTGTGTGCATATCGGCATGGCATGGTTTGGGGGCAGTTCCGGACACTCTAATGGTTCCATCGTTTGGACGGGCGTGTTTTGATGCGTGGCAAGCCCTGATCTGGCCGGAATAGTCCGACTATACCTTATCAATATCTGTCGTTCTTCCCTTGAACGACTCATGACTTGTACCATGGAGAAGTAAGAACTGGTCGCTACGACTCGTGACTTGATGTCGACTGTCGAATATGTTACGGTAGGTGTGACCATAGGCTGTGACCGATGAGGGATTGAAGGAAATACACGGCCTCCTGCACAAAGTCTATGTGCCATGACAGAAAAAGTTATAAAGTATTATCAACGAATTTTTGCACTCCTAAAATAGTGTTTCTTCATCAGATTTACAACTTTTGGTACTTTTCAGGTCATATTATACAAATATTGAATGCTTCGAGTGGTGTAGTAAAACTAGCCTCCCGATGTTATCCATGGACATTCTATTTTCCCGAGGCGAAGCCGAGGGAAAATAGAATGCCCCTTTGATCACCGAGGGAGGCTAGTTTTACTTCACCACGAGATAAAGCATTCAATATTTGTTTTATAACACTTTACCCACAGATTCTGCTTGGTGTTGACATTTTAAATTATTTAAATCTGAACACAGTTGAAATAAACTTCAATTTCAATACAAAATTGGTGGGAAATGTATTTCTCTCTTCCAAACTACCCCTTCACGAAATGTTTGAACCCAACTCTGCGGCGCGCTCTCTTTGGAACAAAACGCGCTACGCGCAACGCGCAGCGCGCACACCAGCATGTATTTGCCAGTGTTGTAGTCGAGACCGGATAGTCCGAGACCGAGACCAAGACCGAGACCTGAAGTTGCGAGACCGGGACCGAGACCGAGACCAGCCCCTTCAAGGCGGACCGAGACCGAGACCGAGACCGAAATGGTCCGAGACCGAGACCGCGGATAATAAATAACAATAATCTAAATAAACAACAAGACACTAATTACAGCTGAACAGTCTGTCCTTGAGATGTTGATGTTCATGGGGATGTGAAGGAAGTGATTGAAAGTTAGGAATCACTTGTACCTGCTTAATTGTGTCATGCGAGTGCTCTTCGTGTTTGCTTCATGCCATAAATTACAACATGGCAACAGAATTTGTTATTGTCACAATCAATTAAAAAAATATTGTTTAACTACTATAAAGTGTAAATCTGATTAAGAAACTCTAACTTAGGAGTACGACAATTTGTACTAGTTTTTGCAAAACTTGAACATGATGAAACTTGACAAAAGTAAAAAGTTAAAGGTGGATGTTTCATCTGTTATAGGAACTCGGACCCTAACCTTCAGAGCCACCCCTTGGTTTCAGCAATGACCACTAACGGATATTTAAATGCAACTTTAATTTTACATTGGACCTCCTTGTAAACCTGATTCGAAAAAAAATTTGGAGCAAGAAAATATTGATTTATTTTTTAAAATTTCAGTCATGGAATATAGATTTGTACATGTAGACCAAAAAATTGAGAGATGGTAGCCAGATATGGATTGGTCTGCCCCCCCCCCCCCATCCCTCTTTGTGATTCTCTTTCCAACCCTGCATGTTTGTGTGTCCCCTACATGTTTGTTTCTTGTTCCTCTGTCATTTACCTCTGAAGAAGGCCTGGCGAAGGCTGAAATGTAATGCCACTTTATTTTTGTTTAATGTCAATAACGTTACATATACTATAGAAGATTGATGAACCATATTTGCCTGATCTATCTTCTGTTAATCTGCCCGCCGTCATCATCGCCATTAGCCTATTGGAGAATATGGCCGACACAATAGAAGGGCGCTGTCACAAACTGAATGTGGTGGGCGAGATGTACTTTTAGGATTCATGGCTCAGTGCGCACGCCTCTCTGTGTTTTGTACCGTGTCATCGTATCGCCCGCATCAGCTACTTTGCTCGGCAATTTACTTGAATATTTTAGTGATTAACAAGTACGACATATTGCCAATATATTAATAGTTTATTGTGATGGCCGTAAACAGCATATAGCGATTAATGGAACACAATTCTTCTCGACTCATGCAAATGCAATTGACATTTAGGAAGGAGCCGAGGCAGGCAATTAGACTCTATTTTTGTGTGACCATGGCATGGTAGCTCAATTTGTGTTTATCACAGATGAAAAGATGAATACATGGCGAGTCAAAAAGAAAGTGACCGTATGATGAAAAAAAAAATGGCACGCTCCATTTTGTAAAAAATATAATTGGGATAAAGAACATGTTATTGAGTAGTAACTGTGAACATTTCACGTAATTTGCATACTCTATTCCCAAGTCGTGTCTATTTTAATAAAGAGATCACAAAACTCAGCTGTCCACCACTAATACCAATTTAACGGTCTACGAATTGATGAATATCAATTAATAAAGATAATGGAAAAAACAAAACGTTTTCCCGCCTCAAAAAATAAAGGAAAAATTGAAAAGGAAAATAGAAACAAAATCACCAATATTTCTAGGGAAAAAGAGTTGAATTGTTCCCCATATTCAAAATACAAAATCTGACGGTAAAAATAATGTTTCAGTCTTGATTTATAAGATTTAAATCTCAGTTGTATTTGGAATCAATGAGGATGGCTATAAAGTGCTTGTTTCAACAGATCATCCCACATTAAAAACGAGAAATATTAAGAAGAGGAGCAATGGTTATTGGACTATGCCTCACTCACTAGAAAGTGAAGAGAGACATGTCCATTAGCATCACACTGCAGTCACATTTGCCCTAAACTGATTCTTAACTTAACCCTAAAAGGGCCGGGGGCGGAATCCGCCTCCCTCACTTTTTGGCTGGTCTCGACTCGAGACCAGCCAAAATATCGAGACCAAAGGGGACCGAGACCAAGACCGAGACCACAGCTCCCGAGACCGAGACCGGCAAACCGAGACCGGTCTCGAGACCGACAACACTGGCATTTGCACACAAATTCCGCGCCGTGGTATGGTATAGTACTTTGGTTGCATGGTATAGTGCTTTGGTTGCTACGGGTATAGTACTTTCGGCCGTGCACAGATGGACAGCAAAAACAGAAAGTATCATGTTACTCGCTCTCGGCCAATCAAGACACAGAATATGTGGGTGAGGTGTTATAATATGGAATATGAGTGGAGGCCGTGTATGGAATTCTTTCCTGGATTGAACACGGAGAAAAGAAGGATGCACACCGGTGTGAATCAGCTGTAATTTATGGAGAAATACTTTTACTCTCAAAACTCAATTGCATGCATAAAAAAGGTATAACCTTACCTCAGAACATACGGCTGAGACATCTTCTGTGTATGCCTGGGTACCGGGGTAGAGAAGGAGGACTGGACTGGACAGAGCATAGGGCTGAAGCAGCCTACGGATTTGTCTCTGGTTTCCAAGGAGATCGAGAAGAAGGAGAAAAAGAAGAGTGGCGAAGTAGGAAAATGTAGACAAATGAGGGGCAACCGGGGGGGGGGTCAAACAGTCATAGCTTTTATATGACATCATTTCTGAGTAAAGGTAGACTCTCGTAATGGTCAGTTTGGGGGAGTACTCTGTATTTAAAGCGACCAGTACAAGGCATCAGTGTTGTAGGTCTCGAGACCGGTCTCGGTCTCGAGACCACTTTTTGCTGGTCTCGGTCTCGGTCTCGGGAGCTGTGGTCTCGGTCTTGGTCTCGGTCTCGGTCCCCTTTGGTCTCGATATTTTGGCTGGTCTCGCGTCGAGACCGGCCAAAAAGTGAGGGGGCGGATTCCGCCTCGGCCCCAGTTTAGGATTAAATAAAGAATCAGTTGAGGGCAAATGTGACTGCAGTGTGATGCTAATAGAATGTCTCTCTTCACTTTGTGAGTGACGCATAGTCCAACAACCATTGCTTTTCGTTCTTATTTTTCGTTTTTATTGTGGGATGGTTTGTTGAAACAAGCACTTTATAGCCATCCTCATTGATTCCAAATACAACTGGGATTAAAATCTTATGAATCAAGATTGAAACATTATTCTTACCGTCAGATTTTTTGTTTTGAATATGGGAAACAATTCAACTCTTTTTCCCCAGAAATATTGGTGATTTTTTCTATTTTCCTTTTCAATTTTTCCTTTGTTCGTGATGGTGGTGGGAAAACATTTTTTTTTCTCATTATATTTATTTATGGATATTCATCAGTTCGTAGACCGTTAAATTGCTATTAGTGGTGGACAGCTTCATTTTGTGATCTCTTTATTAAAATAGACACGACTTCGGAATAGAGAATGCAAATTACGTGAAATTTTCAGAGTTACTACTCAATAACATTTTCTTTATCTCAACCTTTTTTTTATGAAATGGAGGGTGCCATTTCTTTTTTTTTATCATACTGTCACTTTCTTTTTGACTCGCCATGTATTCATCTTTTCATCTGTGATAAACACAAATTGAGCTACTGCCATAGTCACACAAAAATAGAGTCTAATTGCCTGCCTTGTCTCCTTTCTAAATGTCAATTGCGTTTGCATGAGTCGAGAAGACTTTTGTTCTATTAATCGCTAAATGCTGTTTACGGCCATCACAATAAACGAATGAAATATTGGCATTATGTTGTACATGTACTTGTAAATTACTAAAATATTTAAGTAAATCGCCCGGCATAGTAGCCGATGCGGGCATACGCTGGTACAAAACACAAAATAGGCGTGCGCACGTCACGCAGCCATGAATCCTAAAAGTACATGTACATCTCGCCCACCACATTCAGTTTGTGACAGCGCCCTTCTATTGTGTCGGCCATATTCTCCAATAGGCTAATGGCGATGATGACGGCGGGCAGATTAACAGAAGATAGATCAGGCAAATATGGTTCATCGATCTTCTACAGTATATGTAATGGTATTGACATTATACACAAATAAAGTGGCATTACATTTCAGCCTAAGCCAGGCCTCTCTGGCTACCACCTCTCAATTTTTGGGTCTACATGTACAAGTCTATATTCCATGACTGAAATTTTTAAAAATAAATCAATATTTTCTTGCTCCAATTTTTTTGGAATCAGGTTTACAAGGAGATCTAATGTAAAATTCAAGCTGCTTTTAAATATCCGTTGGTAGTCATTGCTGAAACCAATGGGTGGCTGTGGAGTTTAGGGTCCTGTAACAGTTTAGTTCGTATAACAGATGAAACATCCACCTTTAACTTTTTACTTTTGTCAAGTTTCAACATTGCAAAAAAACTAGTGCAAATTGTCG